AATAAAAGTTTTAGTATTGCAATATAGAAGGAAAAAGATAAATTTGTAACTTATGAATTACAATGATGTAGATAGAATATGTTGTCTGGAGACGGATTGTTTAGTGGATGGTTATGAATTTATATTGGATGGCATAATTATCACTTGGTTATGCAAGAAATAATTATTAATTTCCATATCATCAATAAAAATAGAATATATAGCTTTGGCTACTACAACAAGAAAGACTATATAGTTTCATAAAGTATTAAAGGATTATGACATTATGATGCAAGAGAAGATTCTTATTTATGAGAATAACCAAAATACTATTGCTATTGCCAAGAATACAAAACACCATAGTCATACAATGTATTGTAACACACAACATCATTACATTAAGCAATGCATGGAAAAAGGACAATTAGAATGGAATATTATTCCACTATATAGATGGTAATAAATATTTTCATGAAACCTCTATCTAAAGATAAGTTTGTAGCTTGCAAAGATATGCTATATAGATGGCAATAAATATCTTCATAAAACCTTTGTCTAGAGATAAATTCGTAGCTTGCAAAGATATGCTAGATCTTGTTTCAATTGAGTAGCACGTCTCACTTCAAGAGGACAAGTCTTGAATATTACACTAAGAAATGTACCATAATTTGGGACTTTTCTCCAGCATATAATCAACCTTTCACTGAGGTGCTTCCTTCCACCTTTGGAGCAAACTTATCATGTCGGATGAAATCTGCTAGTCGGATGAATGCATTGGCTGCTATATCATACAGAATGGAGACATCGTTTGAGATTCCGCATGAATGCCAGAGCGTCTAGGCTCCACTGGAATCTAGCGATAGCTGTTTTCAGGAGGATTTCGGGAAGCCTTGCTGCAACATGTATTGCGGGGGCTTTGAGGAATGGTGATTGAAAAGCGATGGAAAGATCGTCGGGACAAAGGGACCTCGCACCAGGCTTCTGAGCTCAGTTCTCCCGTTAGAGCGGCGTAGCACACTTGCTTGCCAGCGCTGACGTCTCGATCCGCCTTCTCGATCGCCGTCTGCCCATCGACAGGCAAACCTCCGGTGAAGTTAGTGTTGTAGCTCATCGACACAGGGGTGGCTCTACTGTCTCACCTCACGAATGATCGCATCTTGCAGTTGCGGAATCCCCGCCTTCAAATCATTTTGTCGCTGTGTCGGAGCAATAGTACCCGAGATAGTATCACTAAGTAGTGCAGGAATCTGCTGTGAGATACTATTCTGATTCTTTTCCGGGGTCAACTGAGAATCCATCACACAGAAACTGGTCTTGTAGGAATGGGTGATTTACCTTTTATCACAAGAGCACAATATGTCTGCTAACCGCACCACTTTTCCGTAAGTAAGGGCAAGCAGCCTGCTGGCGAAATGAACCGGTGCACAAGTTTACCTACTCCATGCGCCATCAGAACGGAGTGCTATAGCTCTCAATCCAACAATGTACCGGCACCCCCCATTACACCACGACAATCTCGACGTTACTGCCGATGAGCGTCTTGACCAGATGCTCTTGCAGGGTTTCTGCCTATTGCTATCCCAGCTCGCTGAGGCTTGCTTCCAAGTAATCCCATGATTCGTACTGCTTCAGATCGACATCGCTGGCGATGTTGCGTAATCCTTGGCTGTGTCTGATAACGTGAATAATCTAGCATCTGAGTAGCGGGTACATGGAAGGCTTCGCAAAGCTTGATGCTGCTGACAAATCGCTTTTTTCAATGGCTGCTGTTCCGTCTTTACTAATCCTTAAAACCACGATGCTGAAATGAGAATTTTAGAGACCACGCGCACGGCATCAGGCAGGGTCTTACCCTGGAATTCGTAATTGGCCCACTTCTAAAAGCAACGTAATACACACACGGTGTGTCTGTTCTGAATCACCCTCCCTTTCACAAAATCTCTTCAAAATTCTGCAACTTAACAGCTCATTCACATATGTAAAAAGATAGAGAAGATCAAATTACTCTTTCTAGTAGTTGTGCCATTTTCTTCCATTGGTTACATTCACAGTAGAATCAGTGATCAGATCTGATCCATCATGGTTACAGCAGGATGTATCCATGGATGTCCATAATGGGAACAACTCTAAGTAGGACCACCGCGGTAGTGGTAGAAGAAACATAGCTGCTCAGTGAACTGGACGATGTTCGCACTTGATCAGAGAGCCAAAGGAGAAACTTCCCTTGCGATCCATAAATGTAAAAGTAAAAACTTGCTGTTGTGACTACTGCGTGATACTAAATACCAATCAGTAAATGAAAAGTGGCTCCTCACAGCTCCAAAGGTAGCAAGTTCCTGTAAAAGACCGTCTCTCATATTTGAACATTGCACCAACTGGGTAGTCCAGGCAAGCAACACCATTGATTTTTCCCCACTGGACTGCATTTGGCTAAGCGAAGGATCAATTCAAAGATTGAACTCAAAGGCTAAGAAATTTGTGTGCTTCACGTGAGCGAACTAGACAACCTTCTTATAACATTCTACAAAGCAGTGGTCAGCAAGGGGAACGACTCCCTCATTAAGCCCTAAACACCTACAAGGAACCTCATACTAATTCGTGAGTGGGTCCCTCTACGAATTAACGATAGCTGGAGAATACTGTTGGGCACAAGTTGAATTCCAGTAAAGCTGGTCTCCGTTCCATCGCCAGTTCGGCCAATACTAGAAACCCCATGAGCGATGCATTCACGCGCATTGAATGCTGTTGAAACGAGGGAACATTTTCAGAAGAGACGGAGTGGTACAGGGCTAACAAGGTGACATACAAAGAATTTTTTCAGTCTCTGGCCAAGAACTTGACATCACCTCAAATTCACCAAGTCGACTATACCGATTGTGCAATCATTGCATTGACTGGATCCGACTATGGACTGTTTCCCCATGAGAGCTCGAACTCCGTACCCTCACTTCCAAAACATGACTGAGATTGTCAAAACTTCTTGTCTCATCATCGTATTGATTGGCCCGCACTATCTGCATTATCATCGCCGTTCCTAGTGACCATCCCATCGAACAGCGACGCTGCGACAGATGAATAATGGTTCGAGGATTTGTGTGGAGGGGATATTGACATGGGCCCCTCGCAAAAGTGATTCCAACAATTAGATGTGACTGGCGCCCAAACTCCTGATTCACAAACATCTACCCGTCTCTCCCAATTTCCTGCAGCAATCGAAACCATGCCTGTTCCTACTCCCACTTTCTACGTTTGATTGGGTTCATGAAAGAGACGTTTGTATCAATACAAATTCAATTCATGTCTCATGCAGTTAGATGAAGAGAATTTCGTCTGTTGCCTTCTGAAGCTTTCGACGATCTTCTGCTCACGATGCATGGTTGGATGTCTACGTCGGGTCCTACTCATCATCCTTCATGCACTAACTTGTAGCGCACATTGCGGAGACACATGTGTAGAAAGCAGGCGTCGGTTGTCGCTGTCCACCTTGATCAATTGGACAATGGATGTTTTAATTTAAGCCCTAGCCTCTAAATTGCCTTATCTTATTACTAGAAGAGTCTAACTCATCGTGATAAGTTAAAGTTGCCACTCAAACGGCTGAAAACTATGCACGTCTTGTTTGCAATTCTATAACACCACTTGTACATCATTTGCATCTAAATAAATCTTTTCATGGTGTAATCAGTAATAGAAATGGTGGGTTCGGTTCTATTTACGTAGTTCGTGGCTTGTATTAAAATTAAAGTGCTCAGACCTCCGAAGCTGTGTGTGGTTTGACCAGCCTAGCAGCACGAACCATCCTCACAGCTGCAAAAAATCTGTTGGCATATTGAACAACCACTGTTAGTTAATGGCATTGCATGATTTGAACATCCCGTTATTAACCAACAATTGCACGGGTACCTCGTCGAAAAGCATTCTCTACATCAACAAATTGCTTGGAACCTGAAAAATAATGTTCGGTAAAGTCAATCATTTCAAACCTAGCTGTTACGTCGGTGTTCTCTCCTCCAGGTGAACATCTGATAAAAAGACAAGTCCCCTCGACAGGCTACCATCGCGCTACTCAAGTACCATCAGACCTACTCGACTAACACCAACCTGACACGCCTGAGTATTGTTTCCAGTTGCACGGGAATGACTTCTCGAACTTATATGGATTTTTCTTCATTGATCGATTCGAAATCCAGTTTCCTTCATACAGATGACCTAGCATTCTGCCAAACTCACTGTTTAGCAATTAAAGGCCATCTGCAGAGTACGATTTAATTTTCCTCATATTACCGTGACTTGCATGGCAGAGCAATCATGGAAAGGCTTTTTGAGATTCTGAGAGAAAACTGTGAGTTTAGCAAGCCGTATGCATTTGATTTTCGTTAGATCGAGCTTATAATGGTTTCATTCATGGTCCTGAATCGCCAGCGACATTGCGATCAATTCGCGAGAACATCAACTGCTGTCCTAAACACTAAATACAGTTCGTTAAATTGCGATAATCGAGTTAAAAGTTGCAGTTTGATGCCATGATGCACACAGTGTCAGCTGGCCTGGCTCTTGCATCAACCTTCTCAAAGCACAAGCGCTGTTCAAGTCCATTCTTCTGAAAAGTTCCTGGGCCGCAAGATTTGTATTTATACCCCAAACAAGATTCCTGGCAGTGTCACTGAATTCCATGTACTCATGACGAGGACCTTCAATCTGCTCCCGGAACTGTCTTCGGTACTCTCTGGTCTCATCAGCTGCACAAAATTATTATATGCCTAAGCTCTTGCGATGCTAGAAAGTCCTAGGGTTCACCTTCTCTTGCAGTAACCGAAGGTGAAAGAGAGATTAAAGACGACTCTTCTTTCAAACACCGACAGCGCGGGATTGCAAGCTTCGATCCACAGGGATTCTTCTTCGGTTGGTCAGCTACCACTAGTAGTCCATGCTGCATAGATTGACTCATAACGGCTGATGGGGTTGATACTTTTACTGTTTTTCAGACAGAAGTGCATCAGTTCCAGTAGAGATTCATTTGGATGGGATCAAAGGAGCAATCACTTGCTCTCGTGGTGGTTCTCATCGTGGCAGCAATGCTACTTCAGTGTACAGAATCGCTGGTGCCGTTTGGAGCCAACTACGGGGCCTCCACTGACGCAACCCACACGAGAGTTCAGGCCGGAGGAGACCATGTGGACCTTGTTCTGGATGCTACATCAGGTAACTCATCAAATTAATATCCATCTACTTGGTTACTGCTTTGGATTTGTGCTCAATACTACAACTCACCCTCAACGTTGTAACAAGATTCGTTTTCACTGAAATTCATGCAATTGAAGCATATTGCTTCTGTAAACAAATGGACCTGAGCTGAAAGTTGATAGTGTGTCTTCAGCTGCAGCGTTTGCGTCCAAGAACAAATACTTGTTCGGAAGCATTGGAATGGGAACCAAACTTGTGCCGGGGAATTCGGCAGGCACCGTCACTGCATACTACGTATGACTGGTCAATGACTTCTTTTGAGGAAATACGTCCGTATCTGCTCTCGAATGTGTTGGAAATGAACTGATCAACTTACATGCTCACGCCCACTTCTACGCCTTAACTAAACATTCTAAGTATTACCACAACTGTTGTCTATCTAAATAAACTGGTGATTCGCTTTGAATCTAGTCAGAACTCTCAATGTGCAGTTATCATCTGAAGGTGGTCAATCAGTGCGAAGCGTGCACGACGAAATGGATTTTGAGTTTCTCGGGAACTCCTCTGGCCAACCATACATTCTACAGACGAATGTATTTGCTCAGGGCAAAGGCGACCGGGAGCAGAAGATCACGCTTTGGTTTGACCCAACTGCTGAGTACCATAGTTACTCTCTTCTCTGGAATAAGAACATCATTGTGTGAGTAATCAAAAACTTGGATCGCATCCTTACAAATTTGGCAATAACTACCTAATCAGTTCATACATTTAAGTAAATGTCTCTGATGCGCATGTGCAAAAACTTCATTTGTGATGAATTCCAGATTCTATGTGGATACCGTCCCAATCCGTGTCTTCAAAAACAACGAAGCCAAGGATGTTCCTTTTCCCAATAACCAAGGCGTAGGGATCTACGCGAGCTTGTGGGATGGAAGTGCATGGGCCACCCAAGGAGGAAGCGTTCCATTGGACTGGAAAGCCGCCCCATTCGTCGCGTCTTTCAAAGGCTTCGGGGTGGACGCATGTGCTGTTGGTAATTCCGTTGCAGCTTGCACGGCTGGCAATGGCAATTGGTGGGACTCCGAACAGTACCAAGATCTGAATGCCAACCAGATTCGTCAACTTAAGAATATTCGGCAGAAGTATGTTTTGTATGACTACTGCACTGATACTGAGCGAAATTTGGTAACAACGGAATGTGCCAGCAACTGGTACGAGTGAAGATCGTTTCTGATAGGATACTAGGGTGGAGTGACCATAGTCTGAGTCACGTACAGGGTGAATAATTCACGGCAACACAGTGCCACTGCGATTGTGATGAATGACCAGTAAGCCGGCCGATTAGGAATCAACCGTAATTTACTGTGAAGATTGAAGGATGCTGGTAGTGGCTACAGCCCACTAGGCCATGGCAACGCCGATGGTTAGTTTTTGAATAGCATGCAGAAGGGGGCCGCTAGACTGCCAGCAAGTTGCAGTGATTTCACCTTTTGAACTGTTGAAAATGCAAAAGATCTCAATAAAACTCTAGTACTTGAACGGATACGATGATAAATAAATAAATAAATAAATAAATAAGCTCAGCTCGCTCATTATTAAAAACAATTCCTCACAGATGCAGAAAATAAGTCAAAGAAATGTGCAGTCGAATAAAAAACTAAGCCTCACATAATATCCAGTAGAAAGCTTTGTTACAACAGTTTTCTACGTTATTAACATCTGTATTTGTAAATAAGTAAACTCAATACAATCAGGAACACAACAAAAAAGCAATTCGAAATAATGAGAATTCATCGTAGGTCAGTTACTTCAAACAGATCACAGGTAACTGAAGTTTGTTACACAATCTTAGCTGAAGCATCCATAACGTATGGAATCTCAAAGATCAAAATGTCACCACCCATGGTTACAAAGTCCAGACCAAGATGCCATGTGTTCCTACCGTTCAAAACCTGCTTCAAAGTAATTTACTTCGATTTCCAGGATAACAGAGCTAGAAACATGGAAGATCTTCCTGATACAAATTCAATGACTTTTTCACTCTAAAAGGTGAAAAACTGCTGTACAGCAAATATGAATATCCCGAAACAGTAGTAACGATAAAACCCAACAAGAGATAAAACTCTATACCAGCTACGCTTCCAGAGTTCAATAACAGGGAGTAAAATGAAACCTTAGCAAAGAACAAATTCGTCCATGAGTAAAACAAGGACTGCGATACGACCATTGCAGCAGCAGAGCCTATACACCACGAGATACTTGTGATATACGGGAAGAAACTAAGTGAACAACACAGTATTGTAAAGATCTGCTAAAACTCAGGCCTACATTAGCAAAATTAACCTCGTAGCACATTCGAAAGAGGGAAGATGTAGCATATAAGAAGCCACTACTATATGTCTATCTCGCAATTTCAGTTTCCGTTCGCTACAGCAGTTGAGGGGCCACATCCATACTCAAAGAAACAATTAAACCTTACCGCTAAACAGATTGAACTTTGCAGAGTCTACAATTATTTCAGGTAACTAACCAGTTCAAAAGTCGAAGACCGCTACATGTCCCACTGGGGTGTATCGCAGGTATTTAAATAAAATATAAAAATATAAAATGAAAACCCAATTCAACACAGTGGATCCTCAAGGTTAACATGATGGCTCTTTGAAGACCTCTCGCAGCATTTTAAGACCATTCAAACGATTTGGAGTCTGCTGACTTTTCTCTCGTAACAATCTTGATTGCAATACAGTCGCAAAACCTGACGAAAGGTTCTTATTTGTTAAAAGCTAAGTTCATGTTAGAGCTAACTAACGACGGAGGGTTATCGCCTTTTGGCATGTCAATTGGACATTTCGAAGAAATATGATTAGAAATACTACCACCTCTGTTGAGCAGTTTAGTGTCCAAATAAAGAACCACAACAGTTATGTCATCATGAAAATGCCGTCGTATCCCGCGCTCAATCCCTTTCAAATCAGAGTACCGCATTTCACGTTTAGTAGCAGCTTTTTGAAGAGCAGCTTTGATCAGACGCCTGGCAATCCCAGCCCGGGGATGACTATACACAATGTCTACGGCCTCTTTGCTGCTCAAGTGCTCCCAAAGGCCATCAGATGCAAAAATGACGAATTCGTCATCCGGGCCGAGTGTAATGACGTTGCACTCCGGCTCTGAGCTTATGACAGGTCTCTTGAGGGGATCTGGAAGCCGGAACCTGGCTATAAGAGGCGGCTGATTAAATTCGGCTTTCTTCAAGTAAAAATCACCAATTGAGCGTGAAATCTGAATAATACCCTTCACACGCCACACTCCATGCTTCAAAACCACGATCTGCGGATCATCACTATGCTTTGCGAACAACTCATTCCGGATAGACTCGATGCTTGCGTTGTGCTCTGTTGAAATTTGCTTAGCAACTGGAAGGCCAGTGTCACGAGAGCAACTACCTAAAACAGCTCGAGAATCTCCAAGACTAGCGATGTACAGTTTGGAATCCCATACGGCTCCCACCAAACAACAAGATCCAACAGCGGCAATTTGCGGCTTGACGGCCCAAGCCCTTTCGACGATTTCCAAGAACTTGCCCTCTACCTCCTTGAAAGATTGGCAGAGAACGTCGCATGACATACCCCCTTGCTCTGTAGTATTCTTCAGTACGAAATCGTACAAAGACGCATTGATGCAACGAGAAGCATCAGGGCCCCCATGTCCATCATAGATACCCACATATGTGCCAAAGGAGCCAGTCTCGACTTGGCTCATGTCTTCCAGAATGGAATTAGCTTGAACTACTGCATAGGAGAATTCACCTACGGCATGGGGACAAAGATCCTTGCTCCAAAGCAAAGGGTCTTGACGATCTGTCCCATCTCGCCCCTGTGTATATCTCCTAACGGGACGCCAGCACGCCATAACCATTTTCACCAACCAGTCAAACATCTCTCACCTCTTCCCCATAGCAGGAACTTAGAAGTTCATTATATTCATACTCTACGAGCTTCTCAGCTTACTTCTTCGCCAAAGCTCTTTTACCCCCTGAGTCAAAAGGCTCGCCACTAGCCTCCATCGCTGAAAACGCCCATTGTCTCTCCCATCAATCACTTCTTACAACAGTTCTACTCATAAATTTCTTCGCACGGCCACATGGCGCATAGATGTATATCCCGACAATTTCTTTAATTCAGGAACTCCGCGATATAATTTCTTTAGGTTTTCAAGAAGTAACTGGCAGTCGATTGAGGTCCAATCTCAACGTAAAATCTGCAACTCCAGGAGCAGGGGACATTCAGTTTCAATACCTACAAGCAATCCTTCCAGAATAAGCAAGGTTTGACTAAGAAATCTGTGAAGCAAACTAACAGGACCACACAGGTGGCGATCTGCGCTATGGTACCATACTTGGAGGCATGGAACCAAACTTCGAAAGCTTCCATTGAGCTGCCATAAAACTTCAGCGATCGTGCAGAAAAATGACAAAACCATCTCAAGGTAGCGAGACAAGCTCAGAAAGAAATGATCCATGACACGCATTGCGAAATTTGTCACACTGGAGCTTCAAAAATAAATAGTAGCAGAAAATCTGCAAAACCATATGATTCAATGATTTATAACCCGAATATTTCACGTGAAAAAACTTCGATGTATTTGGCATCGAGCCGTTGCAGGACTGCTTGACAATCGACGTTCAGCTACTCTAATTTTCCTCACTCTTAATCCTGCTCCTAAACGCGATATCCCGATACAAGCACCATCGTACCCCCTCAGCTACTCAAAAAAATCAAAATTAAAAATATAAATAAATAAATAAATAACCAATGGTAACTCCTACTGAAACGGTGTGTTTCACATGGTGCAGTGCGTTGCTTTAGTCACAAGGATTCAACACTTGGAGACTTAAGATGCCCTCTGTTAGTAACCCCAATTCCAGTTACAGCAGCATTTTCCGAAACAAATTCGATTCTAATTTAAGTAATCGTTAAATTTCTCCGTAGACTCCGTAAACTGGCCGTTTTGCCTCTGACTGCTGTGAACTTACAACACACCGTGCACAGAAGCGTGACTTCTATGCTCGTTTAAGGTTAACCAGGAGAACTATGGAACATCGGCACATCCCTAACATCAATCACTGTCCGAAGTTCATCGTTTTCATTGTGATAGATATGCGCCTTTGCCAGAATGTAGTAGAGCTCGAGAGTTTGGAGAAACTTCTTGAAATATTCTCACAGCTCCGGCTGCGAAAAGTTGCAGGTGCCAAATAATACCTCTAACTACCTCGTTCACCTGGGTTTTCGTGATGCACACTTCATAGCTAGGCCAGGATTTCCGCATCTGGCATACCTAAGCGTAATTGAATAGCAATGATCTAATAGGGTCTCTAATCCTCTTAATTGAGGGCATAGAGTCATAATGTGATAGCCCGAGGGCAATGCTGATTCAGCTTAACACCCATAAGACAAGGCTAGGCTAGTGATTCTTGGGAGTTTCAATCCCTTATTTGTTTTGATCATGTGATTGGTAAAGATTTGGTCACAACTGACAAAGATGATCACAAATGATAAGAAGATTCATTCCAGGCACGTTCAACAGGGATTGTAGAAAACCTGTAGCGCACTAGAAGCTCATGCACCCACATGAAGGTCAAAGCACAACTGGGCATCCTAATGGGTGCATACACACATCATCTCCGTCTGCACTCCAAATATATCAAGCAATGAACCTACCCCGCAGATGACTCTTACCGCTGTCTCTGTGCCGCCGACTACAGCTCCCAAAACTTGCTCTTCACCCACCCTATCCTCGTCGCGCAAAACCTTCACAACACAACCACCATGCCTCCCAGCTTTAGTTCCGATGAAATTCGGCCTGCTCGTGCAAGAACCCTAGACACAAAACTCCTAAGCTCCGCAGAGCAAACTATTAAGAATCCCCATGCCGACGTTAAACTCAGGAAACGCCTCTAAACACACTCGCACTTAGCCGCACGAATCCTTTTATAAAACCCCCGCTGACAAACAATCCAACTCCACCCAGTGCTGAAAATCCGACAGTCAGTCCAGGCACTGCGACACGAAGCTCACATACCAGATGCAGTGGGGCGACACAGACCTAGAGGAGAAGGTATTTTTTTAGTGGCAGGGTAGGAGGAGCGGCGCGAGCGCCAGGAAGAGGAGAGGCGATGAAGAGAGAGCGCCGGGGTGAGAGGGAGGGAAGGAGAGGAGGATGCGAAGCGATAGCAATGGAGCCACGGGACGCAGCAGCGACGTCATGGCGGGTTTGAAAAAGCTAGCCCTTCCGACATGAGCGAGCGCTTTAGCCTTTGGGCCCGCGCTGACACGGCCATGGTGCCGAGGCTCCTATTCCCCCCCCACTTGGTAAGACTCCTCATTCACCCTCCTCGGCAGTTAAATGTTTTTACTCAGGAAGGTGAAGGCCAGGATGGAATAGGTTAAGAGCTCGTACCATGGTAAACAAAACATTTATTCATCCACAAATGGATGTTGAGTAATTTAGAGTCATTTTTTATATGTCTGCCCACGTTCGTCCACTAGCTTGCAAAATTCGTGGCTTAAGGTTAGGGCTATGGGGAGCAGAGTATAGGCCAAAGGGTCTTGGAGAGAGGCTGAGGCAAAGTGGGGATAGTTGAGAAGGAGGGCCAAGGCCAATATACATAGCAAAACATGAAACTCGGTACAATTGCTCGTGTATAATGTGGATGGCCAGAATCGATCCAGGGGCCATCACGATACTATTAGAACTCCAACGTTTAAAACATTGTACTGACTGGTATACTTGTGGTAAAATTGATTATTATTTTAACCGATTTTTTTGGTAATGCATAGCTCGTCGCCCACCCGCTGCCCATGGGCATTAGGAAGAGAGAGAGTTGGGCAAAACTAACAAAGTTATCATGGATGGATAAACCAACATTAGTACAGCGGTAAAAAGTGCAGGCTCAACTTTAATCCCGTCAAAGTGGCAGGGTAAATTCCAGAATTGGGAGCCTAAAACCGTTGTTTTGAATCCTTTGACCGTAGTTGGTCTTAACGACTAGAACACATGCAAGTCCTTTTTTAATATTTATTTACTTATTATGTTTTATTTCATTCTCTTTCTTACGATTTGGATAAGCTTAGAAGAATAGCTTTTTTGTGATGTATATATTTAAATAAGTAAATTTCTCAACATTTAATATAAGATGTACTTTTTACATGTGTGCATGCTATTTTGTCTATCTCATTCTCTTAAAAAAATAAATGGTTAGAAAATTGATTATTCCAAAAAAATCAAGTTCGACTCCAAAACTAAAGACAACATCACAAGTGAAATCTTTAAGTTTTAATTGTAGACAAGGTCACAAGAGAAACGTTTTGGGTTATCTGTATAATTAATATCATTGATAAAAAAAAACATATATTATAAATATCATAAATATCATAAAATGGTCAGAACAACTCAAATATGTTATTATCAAAATGATTGACCATTTTCTTTTTATTATGTATTAACATACTGATAAAATATGTAGACAACAATGAATTTTAAATGTCCTTAAGCATACCTTTTCATGTAAATCAGTCACCCAGAATTATAACTGATAAAAGACATATATTAAAATTTTATTTAAGTTAAATCATTATTATAATATATTAATAATATTAATATTTATTATAGTAATAATATATAATATTAAACTTACAATAAATATATATATATATATATATATATATACATATATATGTACACTTATTCAAATATATAACAAGTATTGGCATTAAATCCAACATATTGGAAGTATAAGCAATAAAGGTAGAATGGTAATAAACTATGTGAAAACATCAAAATTAATTTCTAGCCAAAAAAATTAATATTAGATTCATGTTACAATTTTTTAATTTTAAGATGAAAGAAAATTTTATATAAAAAAGTAGTTCAAAGTATAACAAGTTTTACTATTATTATTATGAGTGATACACAATACTATAGCTAGTGTTGAAGCTATTACTATCATATTTTTAATTTAATAGAATATAAATTCATTTATAAAAGTGTATGAAGTTTTAATCATCAAGTAGTAATTCCAATATTTAAAATTTAAAATATATGTTGTTTGTTCTATATAGATCAAAAAATACCTCAAGATTGAAATCAATTATGTCTCCAAGACTGTAAGGAATTTAAAAGAAATCTTTTATGTTATTATATATATATATATATATATATATCCAAACAGTCTTTTGAGTTGCACATGTACTTAAGAAACTTTTTAATAGAAGAGTGTTTACGTATAACAAATAACTATTTTTTTGGGAGGATAAAAAACAACTTCACAATTGTTGAGAACATTTATTTATTTTACTTTTCATTTATTAATTTATCACATGGTAAAAATTTAAGTATGAAGTTGTTGCTTTAGAATCCACAAAATCAAATTGAATATACATTGAACACTGACAAAAATGATAAGAGAAAATGCACCCCCTCCCTCCCCTCTCTAGCGACAACGAAGACACTTCTCCCAGCCCAAGGCACGCGCGGAGCCATCGCGACCACGCTGCTTTTCTTATCCTGGGACTAGCGCCTGCCTGCCTGCCGGCTGTTGCATCCCACAGGGACTGTCACCGCAGGGTGGCTTCCCTGTGCTGGGTGCTCACCGAAAGTCTCCATCATGGTGGCCATCCCCCAGGAGACCAGAGCCTAGTTCACGCTATGACTACAGATTGCCTGAAAATCCCGGCTACACTCACCCATTCGAGCCACGCCACCTTATGTTGTGTTTTTAAGAACCGGATCTGGGACTTTCGGGGGCTTCAGTTCCACCTTCGTTTGCGTTGTCTCGCTCTGATTGAGCGTGACGCGTGATCGTGAGAGGTTGCAACTGATTGGTGAAACAGAACTGGTGCGTGGAGAATTGGGTCCAGCTTTGAAGCAGTGAGAAAGACTGAACTAGATGCATCCGGGAGGGTTGCTGGTTGCATCTGAGACTATTGAGAGACTTTTTGCGAAAATGCTCGCGTTCGTTTAGCTCGAGGATTTGTTTCTGTGCTGCAGACTGTGGATGGGGTTGGCTCGTGACCCATGAGCTGGATCTGGTGTTCGGATGCGGTAGACATGTCTGTCTAGGTTGCTGGAAAAGCGTGGCACATGCTGTTCAATCTGCGTTCTTAATTTAGAGGATGACGGTCCATGTTGTGGATGTCAGTCGCGCCTCAGGTACAGGGGTAGTGCTTTTGAACGCCAAATCGGGGATCTGTTGGACCAGTTGGGCGATCGAGGGAGATGATGAAGGGTATGAAGTGCTGATTGCAGAACTCACTTGTCGCTGAAATCATATGTTGGAGGAATAAGTAGCTCACGCAAGGCTTGCACTACTTTGTCGAACATTCCCCAGATACCTCCTCCCCCTCAGGCAATTCCGCCTGCACTGCGGGGATGAGTTTGGAGATCGCCTTTCTGGAGTGTTCAAATGATTACACGTAGATACTATGGTCGATAGTGTCACATCAACTAAAGGACCACTGCCGGTTGTCCCGTAGCTCGATTGGTGGCCTTCTTATCTCCCACTGACTTAGAGATCGTCATCGGCTCTGCAGTCAAACATCGGAGCTCTACTTGGGATTCTCATGCCATGTCATGGATTCCAATTAGTAATTTGAAGGCTAAGATAGCAATTTTCATTCAACCTTAGAAGACTTTCAAGAGAACTTGTTCTCTGGTGGCTTTCGACTGTGTGCGTGTTGTTTGTGGTTCTTCGTAGCCACGAATTTAACCATGGCCACTTCATATCTGAAGATGTTGAAAATAATTTCTAATCCTTGTCCTGTAGTTGGATATCAAACTTCAATGATGGATGTGCCCCTGCATCCAACAATCTGCAATTGAATACAAAAATAATTTAAGATTCAATCAGAAAGGGATTGAGGTTGGGAGGATATGGATCACCTCGTGAACATCAGAGAATGAGATTCAACGAATCTTAGTATGCTATGTTCGTTGTCTGCTAATGAAGCAGCTCCAACTTCATCATGCATATTTACTCGCATTTTTATTGCAATGAGCCATAGCCAAGATATCTCCATGAAACGATGAAGGACAACTTACACGTTGGGTGACAATTGGAGGACCTAAAGAGTGTTGCAGGAGGATGCTGACTACTTTTACAAAGAACTCTCGCACGACACTTACCAATCGCTCGCTCACCTAATTATTTCAGCTTTCCGTCATGATGACTCTTCCTCGAGTAGATGTACGAAGGAAACCACAGCGTATTGCAAGCTTCAACTTTGGAAGGTTTACGCGGCAGTCGATCAAGACTATAGTCTGCAAACCCAGCACATGATGTAGTTTGTAATTTTGTTCATTACGTTTGAAACACCCGGCATTTTCATCAAGTAAGAATGGGGTACCCATGGCAGTGAGCATATTATGTGTCAGCATGTGTGATTTTTAATTTTTTCACGCTGAAAGACAGTGATACCAAAATGGAGGCAAATCTGCTGTATGATTATATCGAATAGGTTGACTACTTCAAAGCTTAATTTTCGTTGAATGTATTTCTCCACAGTTTGCAAACATATATGAAAAAGAAGTGTAGGTCTCAAGGAAATGGAGTTTATCAAATCTGCAAAAGGGAGGTGCACAAGGTCGGAGTATGTACGACCGGTTGGGAGCAGGATTGTATGATTATAAAATTGGTCCAGCAAAAAAGACTCTAGAGCCTTGTCTCTGCTCCCAGCTAGAAAAGAAGTTCCAGAGCTCCTTCTTTTCCACCACCTGTAACCCTTCAGAGATTGATCAAATTATCCGTATGAGCTTCCTCAACACGTTCTCTGTTGAAAAGATGCTTTGTTTCCATGGTGGATGCGAAGCACAGTGTCCCGAAAATCGTCTAGGAAGCCAAGATGTCTACGCAAATTTACCGAAAGCAAATATCGTTAGACTTTAACTTATAAACAAATTTATTTTGGTTCTCCCTGTACTTGCAACAATCCTAGCTGCTTCACAGATGTGGCTCAATAAGAAATTCTGGATCCAGCACGATGAGTTCAAATAAGATGACAAGCTACCAGAACGTACCAAACTACTTTTCTTGGTTTTGCGGGACACATGTAAGTTTCCAGAGAAATAGCACGAGCAAGTAAATTTTTTGCATGTTGAATTAAAAGAAAAGGGGTTTGGCCATAAATGCAACACATGAACTCGAACACAGAAGGAATCCGGAGAAGAATATTTAGATTTTAATCCTCGATGTGAGTGTTTGACTTATCAGTAGTCAACGAATTCCGATTATG